TATATTAAATTGCTTTTAGGAGCATGGAGCTGGAAGAGGAGCTTGCTCTGTCCATTGCGTGCATGGGTGAGGTTGGGGGACTAAGCTAAAGGAGGAAAATAATATTAAAAACTAAGTTAGAGAAGAGCTACCATAACTATGCATTGGTTTTTTTTTGTTTGTTTGTTTGCTTTTGTAGACATCATACCGTTGTATGGCTAAACTGTTCTTTTTAAATGTGTCAATTTTTATTTATGTGAAATATATTTAACTGGATAGAGCAAACATAGTTGCATTCAATAAATGCCTCTGAACACGTGTCACAAACATTTATTTTACAGTATGCATTAGCCCGTTCATCTCAAGGATATTTTTATGCGTTGTCTCCACCATATATTTTCTTTTCAGTTTCTCAAATTTAATTTATAAGTTATTTCATTGAGGAAGCATTTAAAAAGGATCATTAAATATATTGAAGTCTGTAGAATACAGTTTGGTCTCCTTTTGAAGCACCAACAATATATGGAATGCAAATGCTATGTAATGATAGTAGGAATGAAAGGGTCAATATAACTTTTACTTTAGGACATAAAATAAAAACATGGGGATCTGTTGTATTTTTTTAAATATGAAAATCAATAAATTCTCCCAGTATCACCAAAGTTCAAGGATGTTATATTTACCTGGATAACGATGGCATGGCATTGTTTGTTGTAAGCTGAGGATTTTCTAAATCACCAAGCCCTGGTTCTTTTTTGCTTAATAGTTCTTCCTTCAATCTCTCTTCCCTCTCACATTTTAAAATAAGCAGCAAGAAGAAAGAGGCAATGCCTTCAACACTTTGCTTAAAAGTCTCCATTAAATATGCAAAATCATAATTTCTGCATATAGCAGACTACAATTCAGCTGTGATCCTTTCTGGAGACTCTGAGGGAGAATCATTTTTCTAGGCTGACCTGGCTTCTAGAGACTGCACACATTCCTTGGTAACAACTGCCTCCCATCTTCAAAGCCAGCAATTACTGGTCAACTCTTTTCCTCATTGCATCACTGTGACGCTCTTGGACTCTGACCCTGACTCTATGGCTTCCATCTTTCACTTACAAGAATCTTGTGATTGTAGTGTGTCTACATGAATAACCTGGGGTAGTTTTCCCATCTCAAGGTCTGTTGATTAACAATCCTAATTCTATGTGCAATTTTAATCCCCCCTTCCCATGTGCCATGTGACATAGCACAGGTATAGCACAGGTGGTATCTTCACAGGTTTCAGGAATGAAGATATGGACATCTTTGGGACAAGGGTTGCAGGGCCTTATTCAGCCCACCGCTCTGGTTACTATTAACAAACACCATCTGTTTTGAGAAAATAGAGTGGACAACATTTCTATCATGATTAGAATCTTTTCAAGGCCAATTTTTTTTCATGAATGTCCTACCAGAACATGGTCTGCTTTTCATAATCAAAACTTCACATTCCAAGAGCTGTTTTGGAGTGGCAACATGGTCCTGATAATTACAAGTTACCAGTGGAAAATTTATCTAACTAGATGGGTTTAAAACAAATTGAAAGCAAGTAGTAATCTTAAGGAGTATAGAAGAATGAAAAAGAGCCCACGCTGGTGTGGCTCAGTGGATTGAGCGCTGGCCTGCAAACCAAACGGTCTCCAGTTCAACTCCTGGTATAGGGCATGTGCCAGGGTTGCAGGTCAGGTCTCCAGCAAGGGGTGTGCAAAATGCAACTACACATTGATGTTTCTCTCCCTCTCTTTCTCCCTCCCTTTGCCTCTCTAAAACAAATAATAACAAATAAAATCTTTTAAAAAAGAATAATAAAGAGGAAAAATGAGAATGAAATGTTTTATCTTTCTTATGTTTGACAAGTTATCCTGATTTGATAACTAGTACAATCAGTGGTTTGTTAAAAAAATAAAGTGAAATTTTGCCCCTGACATATAAAAAAGGGGGTATATAATAGTATACAATGGTCCTCGCATTTCTTACCTCCTGCTGCATTGTTCCCTCACCCTTTCTCTTAATTCCCTTTGGTTTATGAACTTGTGGTTTTGGCTTATCAACTGGACCAAGAAGCCAGTAGAGATGAATCCATTAGTCTCATTACTTTATTTGAACTGATATGGCAATGATATCCCAGAAAAAAAGAAACAGAGAGATGCTGGTTCTAAAAATCCCTAGGATTAAAGATATTTATACAACCTGTTCCCAGGTCTGACATACTTAATGATGTAGATCAGAGCTTCATAGACTTTAATGTGCACAGGAATCAAGGGAGGATTTTGATAAGTGACTCAGTAGGTTTGGGCTGAGGCCTGACATTCCATATTTCTAACAAGATCACAGGTCATGCTGGTGCTGCTGAAATACAGACCACACTCTAAGCAGTGAGGGTTAGATCATATCTCTGGTTGGCATTATCATTTGCAAGTGAAAAAAAATACACATTTGAATGTTTTTGTACTGTTGTCATTGTGAGCACAGGAATAACAAAGCATCCTTTCTGCCTGCACTGACGAATTTATCCAAGATTGCTTTCAACTGAATACTTGTCCTTGTTAACATTTTTGTTATGGTGGCATGACAACTATCTTATTCTTAATAAAGTGGAGGTATGTCAGTTTTAACCTAGACATCACCTATAAGACAGAAGAACAGACCTGGAAGATGATGAAATATTCAGGTATTCATTTATCCACTCCACAGTCATTTTACTGAATCCCTAAAATGAACCATGTCCACTGCTAGGCACTTGGTCTGCAGAGATTACTTCTCTAGCGCAAAAGATTTACTTTCCTACTGCAAAAGTATACTTACTAATTTTTCAGGACATATCAAACATTCAGATTAAGAAATGTCTTTCACAATCACCTTTTGGTGGTTCCAGCCACACTTAAGCCTAGATTGGTTGCTTTCCATACACGCTCTGGGTGAAGGATGGGTGAAGAATATGAAACTGTCTCCTGCTGACAGTCTACTCTTGGTAAAAGTGAGTAGCCCCTGGCAGAGCTTGCCGAAGTTAAATGCAGTACTTATGAAAAGTTAGGTGTGCTACAGAATTTGAGCATGGTAAAGTCAGAAATTAACAGCTTTAGCAAATCACATTCCAGGATGAAAGGGATATTAACAAGAGTAATACCAGTAGAGGAAAACAAAAACAAAAACAAAAACAAAAAAAATCAAATTTTAGCCAAGCCTATAGCACATGACAATGGAGGACAGGCAAACGAGGCCATTCGGACCCAACTGATCTTTCCACCTTATCTTCCTATACTTTTTAAATGTACTCTGCATTTTTTTAAATCAAATGGTACCATTTCCAGTGTCTTGAATATCCTTGTCGTGGCTTCCTACCTTCATGCATTTGCTCACTGAAAAAAAAAAAGCAAAACAAAATAAACTTCTATTGTATCTTTATCCAAGTATGATCACTCTTTAAGGCTTAAGTCTAATGCTGCTCCCTTATGCAGTAAGTCTCCTGTCAAAAAAAATCTTTTCTGTGCTTTCATATCACTGAATTTATTTTCTAAAACTAGCCTGAGATTCTCTTTCAATTATGTGTGAGTGGATATTTGTTTTCTTTTCTTCTAGGTCTTAAATTCTTAGTACCCTGAGAACAGAAGCCCTACTGCCCTAAGAGACCGTCATGGGTTGATGGGTTGGGAGGAGAGGATGAGAAGTTTTCAAAAGTGGCAGGACCAAAGCATGCAAACTTATACCCATAAACGTTTGCCCGTTACTAAGGCAAAGTTTACTTAAATGCTTGTTTCTTATGCAAATGTATTTTTTTGGGGGGGGGGCTTATTCTGATGTTTGCCATGAGAAGAGCACAATAGACAAAAATGGTAGACTTTGCAAATGTGATGAGTCTAAAATGGTATCAGATTATAAGGTAGGTTTGGGGGAATATACAAGAATTGGAAATAACCATGCACAATTTGTCTCAGTTCCTGAGTTTGAAGAAGGGTCAATAATAATCATGAATAATTGTGAATAATTGAACATAATGAAGTTTTTATTCTTAAAGTCAAAAGGGTGACTCAAAAACAATATCAGAACTTAATTTTCTGTGCTGGAATACACACATGGACACCATCCGCCACCCCAACAAACAGAACTAAATATACTGAATCAGTCGGAATCAGGATCTTATTGGAAATATGTAAATGTTTGCAAACATAGAACTGCATTCTCAAAAGAGTAGTTGGGCTTTTAGCCTGAAAACCAGAATGGGAGAACCATCTGTCAGATACCAACTTCCCAGCAGAAATGTTGGAATTTTTAGCTATGGGAAACTACAGTTTTTCCAAACCAGAGCAGAGTGAAGGTTTAAAAAAAAAGAAAAAGAAAGACTAAGTTTCCTTGAGTTCCCTTTTTTTTTTCCCTTCCTCTTCTTTTGTCCCCATCCCCTCTTTTCTGTTTCTACAGAGTAACTGCTGGGATGGTGATTGGGTAGCTGGAGGGGTCAAGACTCAGTTCCCCTGCCCCAGCCTGGGGGTAGTGGGTGGGACTCAGCGCAGAGCTGGTTTTCCACAAGCAGACTTCTGTGCAGCTCTACACGTTCCCCGAGCAAGAACCGAGGCAAAGAGCAGACAGCCGCTGGGGAGTCGCCCCAAGCGACCTACACCTGCGGGAGAGGGACCAACGCCAGCCGCCAAAGAACCCTGAGTGACCTCACCATGGTGCGTTTTAGCTACTACTTTCTTTTTCAGTTTTTCAGTGCAGGGAAGGGGAGGGGTTCTGAAAACAAGTGGAGTGCTGGAGGGAAAGGAACTGCCAGGGAACTTTTTGGGTCAACGGAGAGACACGTAGACGCAGGGAGAGGCTGCTACCAGAACAGACTGAATGCTTCGGAGCAGCGCGGGAATCGGATTTGAGAGGCACATCGCGTCCCGCCCAGCCTGTTGAGCAGGTAGGCAGGAGTGAGCCCAAGTGGGAGCGCTGTGGCCGAGCGTGCAGTGGGTGCACTAGTGCAGGGACCAGCAGGTGCCACCGAAGGGTCCCGGCTCCTGCCCACCCTTTCTCGCCGCGGACGCCCGCTCTCCTTCTGCGTTTGCAGTGCAAGGCGTGCCCTGGAGCTACTGGAGATCCGGAAACGCTGTCCAGAGATCTGGGAGGTCACCGAGTAAGTTGTCACTGCATACCCATGCGTGTCAGCGCTCCCCAAAGGGGGGGCTGCTTTCTCTGGGTCCCCAGCCTGGGCTTTTCCTCCACCGACCCCCAACCCGCCGCCATCCCGGGAAGCCTTCCTGGAGCTCCCAGCTGCCCAGCGCTGGGGACCTGGGCCCGGTTCCCACGCTGGGGAGGAGCAAGGGAGCAAAGAAGACAGCGCCCGGGGACCCGGCTGAGGGCCCGTGGGACCTACGACGCCCGAAAGAGGACGAGGGTGGGCGCCTGGCCGACCGCGCTGGCGGCTGCACTCGCGGAGCCGGGCCGTGAGAACGTGCCGGGCGCACCGGGGCCGCTGCTCTCCCACGGCCCGGGTGCCGGGAAGCAGCAGTCAGCCAGCGCAGCGCAGCGCCACGGCCTCCGGCGCACGGGAGAGAGCTGGAGCAATAAAGGGACGAAAGGATCTTGAAGCCCGGGCTTTACCGCAGCTTCAACCCGCTTGGTACAGCGTGGGTGAGCGACTTGCCCTCCTCGAGAATGAATAGCTAGGATCGCAGGATTCCTTAGAGAAAGCAGCTAGGAAACTTCCAGTGGGGTTCCGGGGCTCGACCGAAGAGTAAGAGTGTGCGTGTGTGCGTGCATGTGTGTGTGTGTGTGTGTGTGTGTATGTGTGTGTGCGTGCGAGCGCGCGCGCCCACCCATGTGTCAATTACAGTTGGGCAGTCTAATTTCTGCCTCATTTGGGGAAACGGTGAGCAAGGGGTTACCATCATCTCTGAGCATCGGATATGTGCCTGGAGCCGGTAGTCAATGGGCTGAGCAGCCTCACTGTGATATTGGTGTGAGGGGTTGAGATGCAACGTGGTCATGTGATTTCTGGCTATGGATTTTATGTGTCGTTCTCTTGATCATTAGTTTTTACATGCTTGTGCTTTCATTTTGCACTCGATAAGCCATTTACATCTTATGAAGTAAACCAGAAGGTTGTACATCCCACTTAATGATGACTGGCAAAAGGCATCTTGGTTTCCAACATAATGGAAATCCGTGTGTGTATGTGTGTGTGTGTGTGTGTGTGTGTGTGTGTGTGTGTGTGTGTGTGTTTCTATTTAAAACTATATATATTAAATTAGAGCTTCATTTATAACATCAGTAGTGGTTTTTCAGGGTTACTTCTCTGATGCTGATTTCATTAAATGTCTTTTTACTTCTAGAACTGGGCTTGGTAGGAAAATTGCTAATCTTCTGGTTACATATATAAAATGTTGAAGCACTTAATGATGATACAGATTTTTATGTCTTGGTTCATAATGTAGATTTAATCTGTTGCTTTTCCTAATATGCTTGTTTTTTTGTTCTTCAACCATGGTATTTCAGGTACTATATTATGACGAATGTTAAAAATCATTAACAATGTAAAAATGATATGCATATCTAAAATTCCAAAGTAAACTTTAATTTGTGAGAAAGTCATATGAACTTTATTACTTTTTCAGTGGAGGTTTTCTGTATAGCTACACAGTGGAGGTAGCTACACTCTGTTCAGCTACCCAACAACTAGTACTGTGGATCTGCTTCAAGGTTGTGAAGTCCCTGAAATTATATTCAAACAACTGAGTTGCTGCATTTTTTAGGGAAATACAAAAGAAAAATAACCATGAAATTAAAATAACGTGTACAAACTACACTTTTTCTTATCAAAACAATAGATTTTCTACATAAAACCTTCTGATAAAATAGTAGGAAAATTTTAGAATAATTAAATAGTGTTATAAAAACAAAACATTTCATATAATATAGACTCACTTGTATGTTTTTTTAACATATCAGACAGGAAACTTAGGCAGGTGGAATTTATTTAGTAGAAACTTGTACTCTTTCCTCTTGTACTGTAAGATCTCTTTCTAGTTTATAACAAACAAAATTATATTTCTTCAAAATCCAACAAAAAACTAAAGTGCTAATGCTTCGTGTGGTATTTCATAGTGTATGAATATAAATAGTCCCTTACAGGCCCTGTTTCTCGATGTCCTGTTAGAAAATAATGAATCTTAGACAACTGTTATCTTCAGAATGAGAAAGGAAATGTAAGGATATTTTACTTATACCTGGCAACACCAAAGAAAAAAGAAATGTGGAAAACTTTACAATACTTAGTATTAATATCTCTTATATCTATGGTTTATTAAATGATCTTGCTTTAAGATATTATTTAAAAAACTGTTTTCATTAATATTATATTGTACTAAAACTAAAGAAGTGATAACTAAAATTAAATTATTTCTGTTATGTATACACAATAAAATTTTATGACTAAATGTCAAAAGTTCTGTCATAGACATTTTTCAAACAAAAAATTCTTTTTTATGTTTTTTAAATTTAACCTCAATAGTATTTTTTCCATTACCATTTAGTCCCCCTATGTCCCCCTCCCCCCAGCAATCACCACACTGGTGTCCGTGTCCATGAGCCCTTTTTCCTTTTTGCTCAGTCCCTCCACCCCTAGACTCCACCCACTAGCTGTCATCTGCTCATTTAACACTATTTTTTTAATAAATAAAGACATTGCATAACCTTAAATTTTGTCTGAAACCATACAAGAGAAATTAAATTGTATATTTACATTTGTAAGTTGCATTTATCAACAATTAATGTGAATATAAGGGCAAGAATACTGATTTTTTTTTACAAGTTAGTTTAAAACAACATATATACCCATGAAGTTTCTAATTAACCATTTTCAGAAATAAATACAACTAAAATTAGCCTTAAGAATGAATCTCTCCAGGTAAAGAGAAATGGAAATTTGAAGCAATATTTAAATATACAAAAAATATTTTATTGATAGGACAAAATTGTGGAGGAAATTATTTATTCTGAGTATTTTCTCCATGTTGGATTTCCAAGAAAGTTTCTTAGCTTTACTTTTATTTTCTAAGATATATAACATTTATGGCATTGATTTTTATACCATTTAAATTATAAATATTTATGCAAGAAACTTTTCCTAAACATTACTACTTATTATTTTTCTTCATATTTGTAGAAACTGATATTTTTTGTTCTAAATATCAATAATTTCAATTCTTCTTAGTCTCTAGAACATCTAGACTTATTCAGTAAGTATTGATTAAGTACCTGTGCATTAGTTTTGTTTTGGATATCGTTATCCTGACCTGATAGAATAAGAGGTTTTTGCAATGTTTTAGGTCTTTATATGAGCAAATTTAGTTGCCCATAAACTAGTTGACTTAACTGGGGTTGGAGTAATTTTCTGGCCCTCCTGAATTACAGTTGCTTCTATTTTTCTCAAATTGTTTGAAAATATCTGACCTATTTCATATTTTTTTTCTCTCGCCTGGGTTGAAGCCAACAGGCTTTATCTTCCTATAGTCTTGAGGCTTATAGAGAGTATGGATGAAATTATTTGCAAGGAGTAAAGAGCTTTAGACCAACTTATAAAACTTGAGGGTCTCTAGGACATGTCTCCCTGCACCCTTACCATAAAAATGTGATTCTCGTTGATCATAGTTATTAACTTCACCTGCCTGGAATGCCTTCTGGCCATTCATAATCTTTTATTAGAACGAACCCTCCCTTTCAGAAAATCAAAGGCAACTCAAATTAATTAGCTCACATACCACCTCCTCCTTCTCACCTTAGTAAGAATCAGCAAGAAGCCAGCAGAAGACAATGGCCTGGGGAGTGGACACCCTAGGAAAAGGAAGTCGAGTAGACCAAGGAAAACTTCTTAATCCTGAAATGATTTCCAGGTCTGACCTGACCTACATATTCCCATTCTCTATGCTAATTACATTAAAAATACCTTTTCAGATGTTTGTATCATATACCAAAGCCCAGTCTCCCTCAGGATATTCATCACTGGAGGCAATGCCTGGCACAGAGTGTCTAATAAATTTAATTGTGTGATCTTTGTAATCACTGAGTTAAGTTTTTTAAGCCTTGATTGCTATAGGTTGTTCTGTTTGAGAGTACAACTTAAAGAATGGTATTTGGTTTTGCAATGACTCTCCATGGAATATTATGGTTTTCTCTCCTTGGCTTGCAGCCTATTTAGAACTGCTTGCGAACTCTTATTTCTTTGATCATCGCCCCCTTACCTTTTGTTTTTCTAAGTTTACATCTTTCACTAATGCTATCTGTCCTCTCCCCAGTACCAATGCTTGTTGACCTCCTGAGGATCCCAGTTTCCTTAAAATTCTAAAATAAGGGAGGTTTTTCTTTCTGCACTTTAGTCATTTGGCATTTTGTTCAGAACTTCATTCATCATCTAAATGTTCGGCTCTCACAGGACCTTAACACGCTGCCCTTCCCTTTGGGAGTCCACTGGTCTTTACCACCTGGGCTTTCACATCCCCAGAACTGTGCCAGCTAAAAAAGCTGACACTCTCATATTCTCTTTCTGACCACAGCCCCATATCCTTCCAGTGACACCTCCCACTCGCCATTACCTGACACCATCGTCGTCCATTATTTTTCTCTGGCCACCCTTAATTTTCTCATATTTCTCCCTTTTTATTTATCATAGTCATTTTAGCAATGTCAGCTCAGTTCTACCCCTCAAATCTCTTGCCACTAGAACATGATTCACTCTTAACTGATTCACTTTAAGGGATGGTTAATAGTGCGAGGAATTTATTTTATTTTTTTCTTAAATAATTCCATTATCAAAATCTCCATGGTACATGTTCCATATTTTTCCAGGTTTTCCAGTTCATTCACATTATCCTTACTCTTTTCTTCCTCAGCTGATAACCTTATTTCTGAATTCACAGAGAATATGAAGATTAATTTAGGCAAATTATTTACCAAGATTTATCTGGAATGTAGTAGGCATTTCTTTATTTGATCTATTCTTAGCATATAGGCTCTTATGTTGAACTATATTATTTGCTTCTAAAATAGTCATATCCTAAGTTTTAACTGTTAGAATACCTATACAAAATGTTCTTATATATGACAACTCTTGTAGTCCCTATGATAATATTCAGTTCC